CGTGGCGAAGCTGCGGTGGCCCTCGAAGAGCCTCTCGGGAAGTTTGTCGGCTTCCTGGTGCTCCTTAAAAAGGGGCAGAGTCAGCTTCTTGTAGAAGATGCAGTCACGTGATTTCGTCACCTGGTGTGTCGCGTAGTCCAGCACGATCCACGCCTTGAATTCCTTCTCGATCCCGAGGTGGAGACCCCATCTTGCCCGGTCAGCAAATTTTCCGGTTCTCGCAGTGTGGGGTCTGTACTGTACCATGCAGCCAAACACCCGAAGCAGGCGTGTATCTGATTTTCTGCCCGTCCATGCCCGGTAGGGAGAGTTGTTGTTCTCGAGGCTTCGCGAGGACAGCAAGTTGTGCAGCCGAACAGCGTGATTCATCGCAAACGACCAATATTTTGTTGGGATGGCCGACTGCTTCATCAGGGCCCTCATCCGCGTGGCGAGGCTTCTGTTTGTCCGTTCTGCTACTCCTTGCTGTTGGTGAGCGTAGGGCAGGGACACCAGGTGCTCAATCCCCTTCTGCTTGAGGAGCTCCTTGAACTCGTCTGAGAAGAACTCCAGGGCTCCGTCTGTCTGCCAGGTTTTGAGTTTGAGACCGGACTGTCGCTCAGCCCGCTTCATCCACGCAATGAAGCACTCGAAGGCCAGAGACCTGCTGTCGGTGTTGACGGCCCAGACGTAGCGAGTAGATGCGTCGATGAAGGTAAGTGTGTACTGCTCCCCGTCGAGCCCCTCCTGGCTGAGCACCATAAAGTCGCTGTAAACCTTGTCCAGCGGCTTGTAGCGTTCATACCCTGGGGGAAAATCAGGGAACGGCTGGTGATTGAGCGACGCGGTTGGGCAGACGATGCATGGCGGGTTAGGTGAGTCCGCGGTGAGGGAACCGTTTCGAGGAAGGAGGAGCGCGTCGTTGTCGAAGACTCCGGCTTTGAGCGAGTTTTTGAGCGTGGCGTGGGAGGGATGGCCGAGCCGTTGGTGCCATGTTTCTGGGTCCGCACGGTAACCGACTGTCTTTTGATAATATTTTTGTCGCGCTGCTTCGTCGTTTGCCTCCCCTTCAGGTCCTGCGTCGATGGCGGAGTCGGTGTCGGCGGCGAGCGCGCGAATTGCTTTTCGCTCCAGAAGCACGCGGGGAATACTGATGATGTCGTCGGTGTCGCCGGCTTCGACTTGGTCTCTGGTAACGAGCAGGCATTGGTTGGGCCATTCGCGAACTGGGAGTCCCTTCACGGGGATTCTGAAGTAACTGTATTCAGCGCCGATGACCTCAATTTCTTGTGGTCCTCGTACTGGCGGCTTCGGCTCCTCGGTAGGTTTGGGTAACTCTGTTGGTTCTCCCATAAATTCGTAGGCTTCTTCTTCTTCTGACTCTTTTGCCATTTTCTCGGGTGTGTCAGGGGCGTATTGATCTGGGAGAGGTGGACCTCCCCAGCAGGTGCCGCGAGTTGCCCAGTATGGGTCGACGACGGCAACTTCCGCAGGAGGGAAACCAGCTGCTTCCGCGTGCCCTTGTTCTGCTTCGGCCGTGGTGTCCCATCCTCTTCTGGCGCCCCATGTGTCTTCAGCGGTCTCTGCTTCTCCAACTGCTTCTCCTGCTGTTGCGCCAACTTCCTCTGCTGGAACTGCGCCCCTCCCACCTGCGGCTGCTTCTTCTGGAGTTAGTACTTCTCCCCAGGGTCCGAGCGCGGGCTCGGAAGTGTTCCAGCCCGGCCAGTGTGTCTCCGCTGTCTTGTTTTCCTCGGTTGGTTGAGTTGCAGGTCCTGACGTGCCGCTGTCTTCTTCCATTGTGGCAGGTCCGGTTTCTGCAGGGTTGGAGGTCGAGGCAGTTGGGACAGTGCGCAAGCGTAGAAGGCCGTCGGAGGCTGGTCGCTCGAGGTCCATCTCGTCGGGATGTGACCATGTTGGTGGCTCCGTGGGAGTTGTTTTCAGTAGCAGTGTGCGGTGGGAGTCGCCGGTGGTGCCCTGAGCCGAAAATTGCAGCACAAAGACTCCATCATCATCGATCGCCTTTCCGATGTAAGTTTCGTTGTGGAAGAGCTCGAAGGTCTTTTCCTTCCGATTGGTGCGAATGTCGATTCCGCACCGCATGAGTTGAGCTGATGAGAGTAAGTTGTATTGTAGGTCAGGGGCGACGAGAACGTCCCCGAGGTGAATGGTGAACTTCGTGTCATCGGCCTCGAGGTAGATTTCGCCAATCTCATATGCCTTCATTTTTCCGTTGTTGGCGGCGGTGATTTCGCAGGGTCGTCGCATGCGTCGAGAGTTGCTGATGAACTTTGGCGATCCCACCATGTGTTGTCCGCAGCAACTGTCGAGGTACCACGTGTCCAGATCCTCGTAGCGCTGGCGGGCGAGGTTGGCAATCTTGGGTGTGACGATGCGATCAAGGTCGCCGGTGTACGGTGAGAGGGCGAAATATCTGTTTGCGGAAATGCTCGGCGGCGATTCCGGAGTAGGGGGAGGGAGCTCGAAGTCAGGAGGAATGTCTGAGGGGCGAGAGGACCAGGTAAAAGCTGTTGGGTCATTGTCTGGACTGGGCGCAACGGGGTTGATGGGATTGTCGCGAGTGAATGTTACTCGATCCCAGTAACGGGACCCTCTGTTGCGTCGAGCCATGCAGCTTATGATTGTTCCTTTTCCTTTGTCCTTCGCCGTGATGAGTGCAGGGGATTGTGAAGTGCTGGTGACGGAAGGAGGCGACACAGTGGCGGAGGGCTTTGTCTGCGTCGATGGTTGTTGGTTGGAGGCGTTGCGCCGCTCGTCAGCGGCCTGACGCTTGTAGCACTGGTCGATAGAGTGGCCAGACTTCTTGCAGTATTTGCAGAAAGCTCCCTTCTTTCCGCGTTGTTCCCCTTGTGATGCTCCTGTGTAGAAGACTAATTTCTCTCGTTTAACATTCTTCTCGTTGTACAGGTCGATTTCCTTCTGCTCCGAAAGAAGCGTGGCGCACAGAGCTGACTCTGATATGGTTGCTCGGGCGCGAAGGAGTGACTGGCATTGTCGCCAGTCGGGGCCGAGGCCAGAGATGACCATCGAGATGAACATGTCGTCGGGGACAGTCCCACCGCATTTCTTGACTTGGTCACGCAGATTGCGGCACCGGTTGACATACGGTCCCGCTTTCTCCCCTTGCTTCATTTTAACCGAAGTCAGTTGGCTGAGTAGACGGCTCATCGTAACTGGATCTGTTGCCATGTATGAGTTGCGCAGGTGTTCCCAGGAGGCTTGCGCGGGAGCCCACTCCGTCTTATAAGGGCGAATGCCGAGCTGCTCTTCAGGTGAGAGATTGCGAAGGAGAGCGGTGTACGCGAGGAGGGATTCGTGGTAGTATTGATGCTTCTCCTGGATGGTACCTTCCGAGGGAAAAGGTAGGCTTCCGTCGTAGTACATCCAGATTTGAGCGGTTGTCGCGAGAAGCTCGAATTCGAAACTCCACGTGTAGAAATCCTTTCCGTCGAAAGGAGTTGAGGTCTTCAATTTTGAAGTCAATACAAATTTGGTTTGCATTGAGGCAATGTCTGACTGTGAGCGCTGTGGGTTGTCTTGTGCAGGAGCTGACCCTTGACGATTGTCAAAGGTGAAGGATCTCTCGGAGTTGACGCGGCGGTCTTCTCCAGGGAGAGGAAGTCCAGCAACGCCACGTGCATAGCTTGAGCCGTCAACGCTCATTGCTTGATGGCTTTCAAGGGCGTTGATGCGTGCGACTAGTTCCTCAACGACAGCGGCGCTGACGGAGGTCACCGCTGATGGCGCGTTAGTCGTTGCTGGTGGTGGGCCCGGTGAGTCTGCAGTAACTTTTCCTTCAGGAGCCATAGTATTGCAGACTTTGAGGTGTAATGAATAACTTTATAAAGGGATTGTTCTAAGAAGAACGAGGACTTGACAGATCGTATAATCCACTCTAGCTCTCATACCATGCTGATATAACCAAGGATCCAGTGGATAGGATAGAATCTGTTAAGTCTGAGAGGAGACAATGAAGTCTCTGTAGTGACCTTGTTGAGTAATAATTGAAAGAGAACAAGATGATTGAAAGATAGGAGTACAAGAGATTAAATAGAAATCTAGCTAGCCATGTACTCTGAGGGGTACATTCCCTTATTAACTGTATTGCATAGCTACAGTAACCGTGACTATTGCTATCCTCGACAGTTACCATGTTGCAGTGAATTAACTGTCGCGCGGTTACTGGATTGTCAAGGGTCACGACCGTTGACTTCCTCAGACGGTTGACCTTCGGGTGACCCTCGACATTCCGCATGCTCTATATGAGCTATTGCGGTACTGGTACCGTGGAACAGCTTCGGGAATGCTTTATATAACCTTTCGGTTATTCCAACAGTTCCAAACAGAGAATATACTGTGCCTAAACAGCTGAAAAGATGTGAGGAAGGCCTTGAGAAATGTTAAAAAATGCACGCATGAATTATGTATGAGATGGTATGTTTTAAATTGTTGAGTTCCTATGTGAGGTGGTCAGACTTGTTTGTTGTGACATAATCTTATGTCGTAGAGGAATACGTTAAATGTGGTTTTTTTCCGTGACTTCCGAGCCGCTTCTAATAAAATCGCACTGTACTGGATATGCATCGCTGACGTGGCCCTCACTCGGCCTGGCATCATGTGGCTGTGAAGCTAATATCGTGGCTGCTTCTCAGCTGGAGCCTCCTTGCAAAGAGCTTGAGCCTGTGCGCTAAAGTTGTAGAATAGCAGGGCGGATCTGCTTGTCGAAACTAGTAAAGGTGGTCTCAGTTCATCTGGGCCCACTGCGAGTTCTCCCAGACTTTAACGACGACAGTGGTGCTCTTATTCGTAATTTCGAGCATCAGACCTGGTAAAGGTGACCAGAAATCCGAGCCTTCTCGTTCATCAATTCTCGTGTCGCACAGTGTGATCGAATTTCACGAATGCATGTACTCACTTCACCGCGCTTCCTCCCCGCAATTCTCCCTCATACCGCTCCTTCTCTCGTTCCTTTCCGATTCGTCTCGTCACAGTTCATCGCGTTCATGGCGCCTAAGCGACGACCGCGAGAAATCTCTTCCGAGTCAGACACCTCCGCTTCAGACACCCCTTCGCCGCCTCCCAAAACTTCCAAAACCTCATCAGGGAAACGCCAACGCCAGAGTGAACCTTCCGAGAAGCGTCTCGCACCAGCGCCAGCAAAGGCCGCAGGGAAATCTCTCGGGAAAACTTTAGGGAAATCTCTAGGGTCCGGGAAAGCCTCCGTAGCCGTAGGATCGTCTCCGTTTGATGCGGAGCCGGCATGGGCGCAGAAGGACACGGGCGGCGCGGTGAATCCGGGGAGGGTGCGCGAGCTGCGCAAGGGGCTGCGGCGGACGGGGCCTGTGGTGTACTGGATGTCGCGAGATCAACGGTCCAAGGACAATTGGGCTCTCATCTACGCCGTCCAAAAGGTGCAGTTTCAGCTTCACTCCTATTTCTACTTGAACAGGGTTCTTACAGTAACGTGTAGATGTTGTACTTGCAATTATTTCGTCCCTGTCCTCCGCCCCGCCCCCTCTGCCCCCTTCACATCCCCTACCTACTCCTCCCTACTTACCTTAGCGCATACCTCCTCCCCGCGCCGCATTCATTACACAGGCGCGGGAGAGGGGAGAGGCAGTGGCGGTGGTGTTCAACCTGGTGGACGGCATAGTGGACTCAAACCTTTTCCCTTCTTTACCCTCTTCTTCCCCCCCGGGCGCCCCCCGTTCCCCTTCCCCCCCTCCCCGTGCACGCACCACGCGCAAGAGAGGGGAGAGGCAGTGGCGGTGGTCTTTAACCTTCTTTCTGGGTCTCAAGGCGACTTGTGACTCGACTCAAACCCTATTATCCCCCCTCCCTCCCATCCTCTTCCTCCTCTTCTCCCCATTCCCGCGATGCGGGCACAGGCGTGGGAGAAGGGAGAGGCAGTGGAGGTGGTTTTCAACCTCGTGGACTCCTTCCTGGGGACAAAAACGCAGACTGGACTCTAGGTTTTCCCCTCTTCCCCTCTCCCTTCCCGCCGCTCCCCTTCCTCTCTCCTCTCTTACGCACACCAGGCGCGGGAGAGGGGAGAGGCAGTGGCGGTGGTGTTCAACCTGGTGGACTCCTTCCTGGGCGCCAAGGCGCGGCACTTCGCATTCATGCTGCGCGGGCTGAGAGAGGTGCAGGGCTCCTTTGCGGCGCTCGGGATCCCCTTCTTCCTCTTCCAGGTGACTCTAAAGAGCGTGCCTGTAGTGGTGGCACTGGGCTGTGTGGGTTCTGTTGGAAACGAATGAAAGCTGTGAGAGTCATGGAGGGTACTGCTTCTGAGACGTCTCAAACGACAGTCGTGGAGGGTACTGCCCACATTGGCTCTTGCCTCGGTCCGATCGACCAGACTTCCTGTTCTCACTCTACAGAAGGCACTGCGTCGTTTGCTCACTTCCAATCAAACCCCGGGACAAGGCAAAGCAGATTCGAGGCCCTTCAGAACGAGGAGACAGTCTTGGACTTGCTTGTCCGCCTTTTGAGGGATCTCCAGCGCAGCCAGTATGTCTCATTCCACCTCATTCTTCTCTTCCAACCAAACCCCAGGGCAAGGCAGAGGAGACGGTTCCGGACTTTGCCATGCGATGTGGCGCGTCGCTATTGGTCACCGACTTCTCCCCGCTGCGCATCGGGCGGCACTGGCGCGAGGGGGTGTGTGCCAGGCTGGCAGATCTGGAGCTCAGACAATCAGGGAGTGGCAGCAGCAGAAGGCAAGGGGCCACATTAGCAGACAGAGCAGCAGAAGGAGAAGCAGGAGAAGCTGCAGGAGGGAGGGAAGGGGCAGCAGGAAGGGAAGGGACGGCAGGGAGGGATGAGCTGTGGGACGCGCAGGTGGGGCTGACAGGCGTGCATGAGGTGGACGCCCACAACGTGGTCCCCATCTGGGCCGCTTCAGACAAGTTAGAGTACGCCGCCCGCACCATCCGCACCAAAATACACCGGAAATTGCCAGAGTACTTGGTGGAGTACCCCCAGTTGGAGCCGGGGTGCACTGTGGAGTGGACAGGGGAGACGCCGTCGCCTGTAGACTGGGACTCGTTAATAGCTGCTGTGATCAGGTGAGAGTTAGACTCGTTACAAGGTGTGGTGGTGTAGTGTAGTGAAGAGAAGCCGATGCCTGTGGACTGGAACTCGTAGAACAGATGTCCTTCCGTATCCCTTCTCTCCCATATTCATCCATGTTCCCATCAATGCTGGTCCCGACGCACCAGAGATGGATGGGTTAATCCTGGGGGAGGAAGCGGCAAGGCAACAACTGCAGCAGCATCAGCGAGGCTCTCTCAAGAGACCCTCTTGTGGCTCATGATCAGCGAGGCTCATGATCCCTTCCTTCGCCACAAGAGACCCTTCCTTCGCCACAAGAGACCCTTCCTTCACCACAAGAGACCCTTCCTTCACCACAAGAGACCCTTCCTTCACCACAAGAGACCCTTCCTTCACCACAAGAGACCCTTCCTTCGCCACAAGAGACCCTTCCTTCACCACAAGAGACCCTTCCTTCGCCACAAGAGACCCTTCCTTCACCACAAGAGACCCTTCCTTCACCACAAGAGACCCTTCCTTCACCACAAGAGACCCTTCCTTCGCCACAAGAGACCCTTCCTTCGCCACAAGAGACCCTTCCTTCGCCACAAGAGACCCTTCCTTCACCACAAGAGACCCTTCCTTCACCACAAGAGACCCTTCCTTCGCCACAAGAGACCCTTCCTTCGCCACAAGAGACCCTTCCTTCGCCACAAGAGACCCTTCCTTCGCCACAAGAGACCCTTCCTTCGCCACAAGAGACCCTTCCTTCACCACAAGAGACCCTTCCTTCACCACAAGAGACCCTCTCCCTCCCCCCATTATGTCATCCGTATACATACCGCTGCCAGGGCTGGTCCCGAGGTACCAGAGGTGGACTGGATGGCTCTTGGGGGAGGCAGTCGCAGCAACTGCAGCGAGGTTTCCTTTACCACACGAAACCGTGAAACACAGCTACTCCATTCATCTCCATTCCATCACCTACTCATCCGTATGCATTACCCGCAGGGCTGGTCCCGAGGTACCAGAGGTGGACTGGATAGTCCCGGGGGAGGCAGCAGCTGCAGAGGGGCTGAAGACGTTTCTGGACAAGAGGCTGAGGGGGTACGACACTGGCCGCAACGACCCCTCCAAAGGCCCCACCACGCTGTCGGGGCTCTCCCCCTGGCTGCACTACGGGCATATTGCCCCCCAGCGATGCGCCCTGGAGGCGAGAATTCTGCGAGCACAGCAAGGTGAGGAGGGGGAGCAGCAGTGGGCTCCGTTGGGCTCTCCCCCTGGCTGCACTACGGGCAGATTGCTCCCCAGCGGTGTGCGCTGGAGGCACGGAAGATAAGGAAGCAGCACAGCAAGGTGAGGAGGGTGGTGAGTGAGGAATGTAAGAGGGTATGCTGCCCAGCGCAGTGACTCTACTCCCATCCCATTTGGATTCGTGACTCGTCAATAATCCCACCTCGCTTTCGATCCCGCCCTTCTCGCCACTCCCGTTCTCCTCCTTCCCGGCCCCACCTCCCACTTTCCAGGCAGTGGACGCGTTTCTAGAGGAGCTGGTGGGGCGCAGGGAGCTGGCAGATAGCCACTGCCTCTACCAGCCGCCTTGCCCCCAAACACACTTTGCCTCGTCGCACGTACCCTCTCCTCTTTCTGTCGGGCGCCCCCCCAACAGGCAGTGGACGCGTTTCTAGAGGAGCTGGTGGGGCGCAGGGAGCTGGCAGATAGCTACTGCTTTCACCAGAGCCAATCCCTCCCCCTCCTGCCTCACTCCTTGCTATTCTTCTTCCGCCCCCCTCCCCTTCAATTCAGGCGGTGGATGCATTTCTAGAGGAGCTGGTGGGGCGCAGGGAGCTGGCGGACAACTACTGCTTCCACCAGCCCCCTTCGCCCCTTGCTCCCCGCCCCCAATCCCTTTCTTCTCTCTCTTCCCGTCTGTTCCCTCTTCCCCTTCATTTCAGGCGGTTGATGCGTTTTTAGAGGAGCTGGTGGTGCGGAGGGAGCTGGCGGACAACTACTGCTTTCACCAGCCGCTGTACGACTCACTGGGGGGCGCGTGGGGGTGGGCGCAGCAATCCCTGGACGCACACTGGGGAGACAAGAGAGAGTTTGTTTACACGTGAGTGGGGGAGGAAGGGCGAAAAGGGGAAAGGGGGAAAAAGGGGGGGGGGAATGGGAAAACGGGGTAAGGGAGGGGGGAAAGAGGGGAAAGGGAGAAAAGGTTGAGAGAAGGGGAGGATTTTGTTTTCGCGTCTGCTTCCACCAGCCCCTGTACGACTCAGTGGGGGCGCGTGGGTCTGGGCGCAGCGCTCGTTGAATGAGCACCGAGGAGACAAGAGAGAGTTCATGTGCGCGTGAGTGGGGGGGCAGGGGATATAAGGGGGAAGAAAGGGGGGGAAATGGGGCAAAAGGGGGAGCGGAAGGGTCTCTCTTGTGCTGCCACCCGGGGGACAAGCGGGGGTTTCTGTACACGCGAGCGGGAGGGGGGGGGGGGGAAGTAGGGGGCATAATGGGAAGAAAGGGAGATGGTGGATGGTGTTGGCATCGTTCCTTCAGTTATTTTGTTTCCTTGGTTTTCTATTGGCTGCTGTATGTTTTGCGGGCACTGGCACTTCAATTTCCTGTGCTTGCCATGCGAGTCACATCTGCCTTGTTGTGTGTGAGTGGCAGGGCAGCGCAGTGGGAAGCAGCCAAGACTCACGACCAGGTAACACAATGGCAAGTGTGCCCTCTACGAGTGGTAACTCCTGGGCATTGCGCTTTCCATGCGTTGCTTTGACACACGCTTGACCCCCTTGACCCTCTTGACCCCCTTGACCCTCTTGACCCCCTTGACCCTCTTGAACCTCCGTGTCCCCCTTCCCCTCACATGACTTTTCTTCCTACTTCTCCCGCTCTCACCCTTTAATGATTGGTTTTCCATCCCACCACTCCCACCTCCCTGTTTGTAACCCCCCTTCTTGCACCACATGCCAGCTGTGGAACGCCGCTCAGCTGGAGCTGGTTCACTACGGCAAGATGCACGGTTTCATGCGGTGAGACGTGGATTCAGTGCGGTGAAGCATGGTTAAGCGTGGTAGGCTGGTAGCGAGTGGTGAGAGAGGGGAAGAAGGCAGCAGGTGTTGCAGGTGAGGAATTACGCAACTCTGCTGGAAAGCTGCTAGCATGGCAGTGGCTTGTGCGGCATGGTGCAATAAGTCATGGATTGTGCGGCATGGTGCAATAAGTCATGGATTGTGCAATGAGGTGCGTGAGGTGCGATGAGGAGCGGCGAGGATCAGTGAGGAGAGTTGCTGTCTCGAGTGTGTCTCTGCAGTATGAGAGGCTGAAGCGGCCACTCTGTACCTTCACCTCCAAACCACATTCCTCCACCCGCTTTCCCGTTTCTCATTCTCCCCTCCTTCATGTGTGGAGCATTCACTGGGCATATATCCAAGTCACTTCTGAAAGCTCTCAAAATTGTCTTTGCTTTCCATCCCCCACCCCCCCCCCCCTCTCTCTCCCTCTTCTGTGGCAGCATGTACTGGGCGAAGAAGATTCTAGAGTGGTCTGAGTCACCAGAGGAAGCTCTCAGAATAGCAATCGAGCAGAATGATAAGGTGCGTGGAGTGGAGAAGATGAGGAGATTATGGCATAGCTTATTCGTCCTTTCTGGCTTCCCTTCTCCTCGCTGCTATCTTCCCATTGCCTTCCCCTCTCTTCTCCTTTCCTCTCGTTTCATCTTCTCCTTTCCTCTCGTTTCATCTTCTCCTTTCCTCTCGTTTCATCTTCTCCTTTCCTCTCGTTTCATCTTCTCCTTTCCTCTCGTTTCATCTTCTCCTTTCCTCTCGTTTCATCTTCTCCTTTCCTCTCGTTTCATCTTCTCCTTTCCTCTCGTTTCATCTTCTCCTTTCCTCTCGTTTCATCTTCTCCTTTCCTCTCGTTTCATCTTCTCCTTTGCCTGCTTTTCCTGCTCTCACCTCTTTTCCGCCCCCCCTGCCCCTATTGCTCCACGTTTATTATCGCCACCAATCCCCTCACAAGCTCGCCTTCTAAGCTCCCTCGTTCCTTCCTCTCACATCCGTGTCCCCCCATCCTCTCCCCAACTCCGTCCCCAACCCCACCCCCATCCTCGTCCGCGTCTCACATCCCCACCACAGTACTCATTGGACGGTCGCGATCCCAACGGCTATGTAGGCTGCATGTGGTCCATTGCAGGCGTGCACGACCAGGTACGGTGAATGCGTACTTCGCTAGTGCACGACCAGGTACGGTGAATGCGTACTTCGCTAGTGCACGACCTGACAAGTGCACGCTCACATCGCTTCTGCCATGCTCCTTCCTACTCGAACCCTTTTGCTCAGGGCTGGGCGGAACATAAGGTGGTTTGGTATGTAATGAATCCAGGTGGGTGAAATTAGGTGTGAAGAGGTGCACTGTTCAGCACTCATTCCACTTTCCCCTTCCCCTACCCCCCCCTTTCTCTCCCTGCACATCCAGGGCTGGGCGGAGCGCAAAGTGTTTGGCAAGATTCGTTATATGAACGCAGCGGGGTGCAAGAGGAAGTTTGACGTGGAGGCTTATATAGGGTACGTGCGGCGCATGGTGGCTGCAGTGAAGAAGAAAGGCACGGCTGCTGTTCCTCCAGGTGGTGCTGCTGCCTCCCCCGCTGCCACTGCCAATGCTGCCACCGCAACTGCTGCCCGTCTTAGGGCTGGTAAACCCATAGCCTAGACAGCAGTGAGGCGCATGGTGGGTGCTGAGAATGACAAGGGTACAGTTGCTGATGCTGCTGTTACCACTGGCGGCGCTGTTGCTTCCCCTGCTGCCACTGCAAGTACTGCGACTGCAGGTGGTGCTGCTTCTCTCAGAGCAGATAAACCCACACTTAAAGTGAAAAATGCGTCGCACATAGGTGCTCACGTGTGACGCATGGTGGGTGTAGTGAAGAAGAAAGGCAGGGCTGCTGCTGGCAGCAACACTGGCGGTGCTGCTCCTACCCGGCAAATGCTGCCACTGCAGCTGCTGCTTCTTTCAGAGCAGATAAATCAAAGTAGTAGGCAGCATTTAGGCAGTTGCTAGGTGAAGAAATGGTGAATGAGAGTTGTGCACATAGACAAATGCAACTGCCTCAATATAACATTTTTTAGTATGGTACAGAACTATCCTTCACAGCAAAATCGTGTGCAGTGGCACTGTGGCATAGTGTTTGTTCTCACCAATCCCCAACCTCCTCTTTGATAGTTGCTAGAAGCGAGACCAGGGCCACCTGCAGAGATAAAACGAGATGAGCAGAGATGAGCAGAGATGAGCAGAGAATGGGTCAAACACCGTGCATGCGGCCTAGAGCCACTTGGTGAAGCCTACTGGTTGGTGTGCAAGGAGTAACTCGTAGGGTAATGTTCAGCATGCAGAGTGCTCATACGGACCCATGTCAGTGCGCAGTGGTTTGTGCCCCACGACCACACGGTGGAAGCTGGGTGTAACTCGTAGGGTACTGTGCAGCATGCAGCGTGCATGGAGGGTGCAGAGTGCTCATGCGGACTCACATCGGTGCGCAGTGGTTTGTGCCCCACGACCACACGGTGGAAGCCCAGGCGAGCAAAGAGGTGTAACTCGTAGGGGACTGTTTAGCATGCACCATGAGCAAGGTGCAAAAATACGACCGTATTTTTGAAACTGCTCTAATGTTTCTAACAGGAGCCTGTTACACGTTGCCGTATTTTACAGCTGAAAAAAAAAAAAAAAAAAAAAAAAAAAAAAAAAAAAAAAAAAACGACCGTAATTTTGCACCTTGACGATGAGCATGCAGCATGCTGGTGGGACTTGGGACTCACATCAGTGCGCAATGGCTTGTGGCCTATAGCCACTTGGTGGAAGCCCAGGCGAGCAAAGAGGTGTAACTCGTAGGGTAACCAGCCACCCTCGGGTCCCACTGCTAGCACCACGTTGTAGGATGTGCGGAGGGAGGGAGGGAGCAGGTGCTCTGGAATGGCAGGGAGAGAGGGAAGGAGAGGGGACGATAAGGAGAGGGGCCACGGAGGGAGTACGTGGCCTTTCGAATCAGTTCAGATCCCTCCCTCTGCTCGCACTGCTCGCACGCACCACATGGTAGGATGCAGTAAGGGTGGGGGGAGCAGGAACTTTGGATGGGAGGCAGGGAAGATGCTGATGTGTAAGCAACTCTCCGAGGGTCTAGGAGAAATTCTAAGGCAGCCCATGATAGCTTGGTGATAAAAGTGATATTCTGAGACGTCTCAAAATATCACTTTTATCATGTGGCTAAATTTTGAGGCGGCCCATGATAGCCCGCCTGCCAGCCCGCCTGCCAGCCCCACCACCGCTCACACCACATTGCCTATTTTTGAGGCGCAGAATAATAATGAATAATAATAAGGAAAAAGGGGTTCTCTGACCACACCGCACTGTAGTATCTAGCGAAACTGGGAAGGAATGCAAGACGCCAGAGGTTAAGATTGTGGGGAAGGAATGCAAGACGCCAGAGGTTAAGATTGTGGGGAAGGAATGCAAGACGCCAGAGGTTAAGATTGTGGGGAAGGTAGCAGGGGCTGAAAGAGATGGGAGCAGGGAGATGGAGGAGGGGAGCACGGAGACGGAGAGAGCAGGGAGGGAGGGAGCGAAAGATGGTAGGAGGGATGGAGAGACGAAAGGGAGTGCAAGGTCGGCTATGGGTAGCCTCACCATGCCTTGCCACTGCCTCACCATGCCTTGCCACTGCCTCACCATGCCTTGCCACTGCCTCACCATGCCTTGCCACTGCCTCTCGCATGCTTGTTGAGCTTCCGCTCCTCCCTCCACGGCCAGTACCATTCCTAGCGTCCACAACACTTGCAGCAGCTGCCTCCCCACGACCATCACCATCACCATCACCACCACCACCACCCTCTGCTGCGCTCTGCCCCTCTGAATCGCCTTCTGGGTCGCTCCCTGGGTGTGCGAGCAGCAGCAGAGTACCAGTGGAGACTGGAGGCACGAGAGGTGGCGTCGCTGTGATGGTACCTGCAGGTCCATCAGCAGTAGGAGCAGCTGCAGGTGTATCGGCAGGAATATGAGCTCTAGGTGAAACTGAAAGAGTGACAGAAGGGTGATCAGGACTCGAGTCGCTGGCGTGCGCAGGTGCTGATTGGTCCAGCTGGCTCTGGCGCTCCAGAGAATCGAGGTGTGGGAAGAGGAAGGTGAAGAGAAGCTTCTTCAGCTGCAAGTGAACTGACACAGACGGAAGGTGTGTGTCACCGACCTGTGGGATGGGGACACGTGGCGAGTGTGTCAAGGAGGCATGGATGATTCGAATCACCAAATGGAAGCATGTGTACCGAATGGAAGCATGTGTACCGAATGGAAGCATGTGTACCGAATGGAAGCATGTGTACCGAATGGAAGCATGTGTACCGAATGGAAGCATGTGTACCGAATGGAAGCATGTGTACCGAATGGAAGCATGTGTACCGAATGGAAGCATGTGTACCGAATGGAAGCATGTGTACCGAATGGAAGCATGTGTACCGAATGGAAGCATGTGTACCGAATGGAAGCATGTGTACCGAATGGAAGCATGTGTACCGAATGGAAGCATGTGTACCGAATGGAAGCATGTGTACCGAATGGAAGCATGTGTACCGAATGGAAGCATGTGTACCGAATGGAAGCATGTGTACCGAATGGAAGCATGTGTACCGAATGGAAGCATGTGTACCGAATGGAAGCATGTGTACCGAATGGAAGCATGTGTACCGAATGGAAGCATGTGTACCGAATGGAAGCATGTGTACCGAATGGAAGCATGTGTACCGAATGGAAGCATGTGTACCGAATGGAAGCATGTGTACCGAATGGAAGCATGTGTACCGAATGGAAGCATGTGTACCGAATGGAAGCATGTGTACCGAATGGAAGCATGTGTACCGAATGGAAGCATGTGTACCGAATGGAAGCATGTGTACCGAATGGAAGCATGTGTACCGAATGGAAGCATGTGTACCGAATGGAAGCATGTGTACCGAATGGAAGCATGTGTACCGAATGGAAGCATGTGTACCGAATGGAAGCATGTGTACCGAATGGAAGCATGTGTACCGAATGGAAGCATGTGTACCGAATGGAAGCATGTGTACCGAATGGAAGCATGTGTACCGAATGGAAGCATGTGTACCGAATGGAAGCATGTGTACCGAATGGAAGCATGTGTACCGAATGGAAGCATGTGTACCGAATGGAAGCATGTGTACCGAATGGAAGCATGTGTACCGAATGGAAGCATGTGTACCGAATGGAAGCATGTGTACCGAATGGAAGCATGTGTACCGAATGGAAGCATGTGTACCGAATGGAAGCATGTGTACCGAATGGAAGCATGTGTACCGAATGGAAGCATGTGTACCGAATGGAAGCATGTGTACCGAATGGAAGCATGCGTACCGAATGGAAGCATGCGTACCGAATGGAAGCATGCGTACCGAATGGAAGCATGCGTACCGAATGGAAGCATGCGTACCGAATGGAAGCATGTGTACCGAATGGAAGCATGTGTACCGAATGGAAGCATGCGTACCGAATGGAAGCATGCGTACCGAATGGAAGCATGCGTACCGAATGGAAGCATGCGTACCGAATGGAAGCATGCGTACCGAATGGAAGCATGCGTACCGAATGGAAGCATGCGTACCGAATGGAAGCATGCGTACCGAACGGAAGCATGTGTACCGAATGGAAGCATGCGTACCGAATGGAAGCATGTGTACCGAATGGAAGCATGCGTACCGAATGGAAGCATGCGTACCGAATGGAAGCATGCGTACCGAATGGAAGCATGCGTACCGAATGGAAGCATGCGTACCGAATGGAAGCATGCGTACCGAATGGAAGCATGTGTACCTAATGGAAGCATGTGTACCGAATGGAAGCATGTGTACCGAATGGAAGCATGTGTACCGAATGGAAGCATGCGTACCGAATGGAAGCATGCGTACCGAATGGAAGCATGCGTACCGAATGGAAGCATGCGTACCGAACGGAAGCATGCGTACCGAACGGAAGCATGCGTACCGAATGGAAGCATGCGTACCGAATGGAAGCATGCGTACCGAATGGAAGCATGCGTACCGAATGGAAGCATGCGTACCGAATGGAAGCATGCGTACCGAATGGAAGCATGCGTACCGAATGGAAGCATGCGTACCGAATGGAAGCATGCGTACCGAATGGAAGCATGCGTACCAAATGGAAGCATGTGTACCGAATGGAAGCATGTGTACCGAATGGAAGCATGCGTACCGAATGGAAGCATGCGTACCGAATGGAAGCATGCGTACCGAATGGAAGCATGCGTACCGAATGGAAGCATGCGTACCGAATGGAAGCATGCGTACCGAATGGAAGCATGCGTACCGAATGGAAGCATGCGTACCGAATGGAAGCATGCGTACCGAATGGAAGCATGCGTACCGAATGGAAGCATGCGTACCGAATGGAAGCATGCGTACCGAATGGAAGCATGTGTACCGAATGGAAGCATGCGTACCGAATGGAAGCATGCGTACCGAATGGAAGCATGCGTACCGAATGGAAGCATGCGTACCGAATGGAAGCATGCGTACCGAATGGAAGCATGTGTACCGAATGGAAGCATGTGTACCGAATGGAAGCATGTGTACCGAATGGAAGCATGCGTACCGAATGGAAGCATGTGTACCGAATGGAAGCATGCGTACCGAATG